CTCCCGGTTCGTAGACTTGGGTACGACAATTTCCGCAATCTCTTCGACCTGGGCCCAGGCATCGTGAGCACTGTGAGATGTGAGCTATTCTGGTGCTAGGTGCTGCAGGCCGCCTGTAAAGTCCGATATGGGACAGTGCTCTCCACCTACCTCTCGATAATTCCCAAGCGCAGAACCTTGGGCCGCGAGTAGGCATGAGATGGGGGAGCCATTATGGGTTTCCTCTCTAACAATGCGGATCCACGTGGTAAACGGTACTACAGCTGATAACCAGATGAATCAATGACGATGTCTCGGGTAGTTGGTTGTCTGGTTCAGGTTGGCGCCGTTGTTTGTGCCGTTCGCGGGGTCAATTGCGGTTGTTGATCAGTGGGTGGCAGTCGCCTTATCTCGGGGTCCTGCCTACTTTTTTTTGGCGGGGTGATCGACGCGCGGGGTGAAAAGTGGCGGGGAAGGAGCCGGGGGTATTTGGTAAAGGGAGGAGGAGCGAGGCACTCGTCTCCCAACCGCGAGACCATGTGATGATATACGACGTTGGGGCTCGCCTGCCATGATTTGATCCCTTGGATTTGGGAATGACGCGACGGGGTGATTCGGAGCTTGCGTCGGAAGGCATGGGCCATGAGTCGTCCCCCATTCAACGCAAGGTAAGGCCTCGTTGCCAGCACACAATCCAGCTTAGGCGTCCTGACGGCATGTACCCGATGGTCCCATAGTGAAGCGGACGAGACCGTGATCGCTGCGGCATCGTCATCGGCCCAAGGCGGCACAGAAACGACAGGGTAGCAAAACTGCCTCATAGAACGGCGACATTGGGTCCGGCCGGCCCGCCCTAAGGCTTGACCAGGCGGCCATGATCCTGCTTTACCTCATTCTCGCCTCTCCTGCTGCGGCTGTGAAGACCTGCTGTCAAAATTTGTTTCCCCCGGTCCTTCCTACGACGCTTGTAAGTGTATCTCGTGTACTGTCATAACTTGTGTGTCGCGATCCGCTACCGCAAAGGCTGTTGCTGTTCACCGGCCTCCTCAGTGTCTGCAATTTGCATGACACCGCCTTGGACTACAGACGACGTGCGATAAACGGCATTGCGTCAGATAGATAAGCTGCGGTCCAATGCAGCTCAATCACCTCGCGCAGGATGGGTCAGCCTTGACTACTCGTTCGAAACAATAACGCACCACCAATCCATCCTGATATCAGCCTCCGAAAGCGCTACCTCTGCGAGATAGAGTATCCTCCTCACAGCCACATCCAACCTGGATCTTTCTGCCATGTCTCGTACCCATAGTCATAGTCAGAGACAAAACACAGCAGACAAGATAGCGCACAGCATTGACGCAGTTCCGGCCCGACCATCCCCTCCGACCGGCTTCGGCGGCAAAAGTGGGACCCCGCCAATCCCGCACACCGCCACGACGCACCGAACAACCACAACGGGCGAGCCCAGACCGAGGGCGCACACCAGAGACAGGTCAACCAACAGGGGATTATGGAGCGATATGTCCCGACCAGTTTCCCGTACCACCACCACGGCCTGAAACTGCCAACCAGCGCCCAGCTAGAATACCCCGTGCATGGCTCTCCTGCAGCCTCTTTCATCATTGGTATCCAGGGCCATGTCGCCATCACAGCTACCGCGCTGGCGATCCGTCCTGTGGTCCGTGCCTCGCACTCGATCAAGGGAAATGATCTCAAGATGGAACTTGATGAAATTGAGTGTTCTGTTCACCGGCTGCACTACTGCCCTACTCTCAGTGCCTTTCCGCTCTTGCTTTTCACATAATGTACATGAAACTGCCATCCGCCGCTGAGCTGCTGACTTCTCCAACTCCTAGGTGCCGATCGCCATGCACCTATACTTTTTGACTGTGCTACTGATACAGCGTGCAGGCTCGAAATGCAAGCAACCGATGCAAGGCCGTGAATATTGCATAAAGAGCCCGCAGGACGATGGTCGAGGGGGCAAACGTAAAGAAATGGAAACCAATGACTCCGTCCAACCGATTGACGCCAATGAGCCCAGAGTTCCGTAAAAAGGCCGTACACGGCTACTCCTCCCACGACTGCTTCAGCACGCCCGTGTTGTTGAGTCGTCCGATATTCACGCCGGGGTTGATAAAGGACTGAATGGCAATCTCGCTGAAGCGACGCACAACGTTTGTCGTGCCCCCAGACACCTGCGCCTCCCTGCGGATGAAGTTGCTGGCAACAAACAGTCGGTTCTTCGGTTCGGATTCATCGGCCTGCTGCGGGATCGATGTCTCGTATCCAGGATCGAGTCTCGGCGCCAGCTCACGCGCAATCGCAATCGAGTACAAGAGGTCGCGGTTCTCCTGGCCGTCTAGGAGGGTCCTGATTCGGTTCAGAGCCGTCTCTCGCTCATCGTGCTTGCTCTCATACGTCGTGTCGGGTAGGCAGAGGAAGTGTGCCAGGTTGTACCAGAATTCATATTCCCGCACGCGGTTCGTGTCGCTGTCGGCTCGAGGCGCCGTCAAGGGGTTGGCCGACATCATGAAATCGCCACGGAGGAGAACGTCGACAACAAAGACCCGGTTGCGAATCTCGACGGGATCGGTTGGTGGCGGAAGAGGGTCATGCGGTCCGCCTTGGAAGAGGCTCGGCGGGACACAGCAAGGGAAGAGTTGCCAGTGTCCAGGTAAGACGCGTCTCGAGAACGCCTGACGCGTTCAAGCTGGCGCGGTCGTTGACATGTGTCTTTTCGATACACTTGAGAAAGGCAGCAAAGACGTCCCGCGCACCACGTAAGTCACGGTAGAGATTTAGGGTTGATGGGTCCGTCATCATGCAGCCGAACCAGCGCGTCTCGAAGAAGGAATCGAGTCCAAAAGCGTACACTTCATGGTAGACGCGGGTGATTTCCTTGGCCACCTCTGGTGTAACCTGGCCGTCTCCCTCGGAAGGAGGTGATGGTGCGGGGCCCAGGAGGTCCAGGATTTGTTCAATCTTCATCTTTTTGGCTGAGAGTTTCGCGCGTGAGCCGGAGGATCCAATCAAATCAACAGTAAGGGGCAGGTATAGGCAGGAACGGAAAGGGGCGAGGGAGGGGGACGGCACCTCTCAAGGTCAGGTTGCCGCCGGTCGCGGATTGCTGGCCGGAAGCAAAGTTTGGTGTTGATGCGAGCATGGGCAGGTTCTGCAGCGCAGGATCAATGGCCGTTCCGTAACCGTCCGCTTTGGCCGAGGCGGGAGAATTCAGGGCTGAGTCGAAGTGGGTGCTGGCCGATGGGGGAGGGCCGTAGGAGCTCGGCAGGACCGAAGGCTGCGAACCATATGGGTTGGAAGGCTGCAGTGGTGCAGGGGGTAGTGACGAAGGAACGGTTGGCGTTGAAACGGGGGATTGGTGGTGACTGTTGAGGGCCGGCTGAATGTTTGAAGGTCCAGGTTGTTGTTTGAAGATAGGGTCGTATCCGGCGCAGTCGCGCTTGGACTTTTTGCAATTGTTGCATGTCGGCTGGGCTTCATCACACTATGTGGAAAATAAAGTTAGCATGTTCTTCAGCAATCATCATGATCATTGTCGTGGTGGGCATCACTTGTGAGGCGCATCCAACCCCACCATGAAGAATCGTTTGCCTGGCGCTCGATACTAGCCGCGGATCACTTGCCGAGTGACATCGGATGAACGGACGGGGTGGTTCTCGCTTCGCAGTAGCTCGGCATCAAGCGACCGCAAGCGACTCCAAGCGACGTCTCGCCAAAACCCACCACCGCCATACCTCATTCAATCCATTTCCTCTTGTTTCATGAATTCTGGGTGTCCCGACCTCTTTCATCTTCAACTCCTGTTTTCCTTTTTTTATCCTTTTGGTCTCCTGCCTCCGCATCCGAATAAAACGCTGTTCAAGAAAAAAGCAAAAAAGAAAGGAGCGACCAACCTTGATGCGGCGTTTGCGACATGTCAAGCATCCCGTCTTTGTTCGTCTTTTGATTTCCTGCAGGAAAGAATAGTGATTAGCGAGGGATCGATCCTGGGTGGCGACACGTCTCGCCGTCGTATGTCGGGTCAACCCAGTAGCCCAAAACGCCGTACCTTCTTTGGTCCACGGGGACCGCCCCCGTACCGCATGTCGTGCGGGGGGATGGCATATCTTATGTTGTCGGAAGGCAATTGGTAAGGGTTCGGAGCCATTGACATGTGATTATAGTACGGCATGCCCTGGGGATGCCCCATGGACATGGGCATGTTCATGGGTTGTGGCGGCGCATGAGGCGAGCCATGCTGGTGAGAGTGCTGTGATGTTGCTGTGTGTGGTGTGGCGGCGGCGGGGGCGGCTGTGTTGTGGCTGCGATTGTAACGCATCAAAGCTCTTGACGCTCGCAATGATACTGAGCGCGTACTCGCTCGATATGGTCGATTGAAGCTGCTGCTGAGGA